ATAAGTGAGACAGACAGAATAAAGACAAGAGGTGAGACAGACAGACAAAGGGTAATAGGTGAGACAGACAAAAAGGATAATAAGTGAGACAGACAGAATAAAGACAAGAGGTGAGACAGACAGAATAAAGACAAGAGGTGAGACAGACAGACAAAGGGCAATAGGTGAGACAGACAAAAAGGATAATAAGTGAGACAGACAGAATAAAGACAAGAGGTGAGACAGACAGACAAAGGGCAATAGGTGACAGACAAAAGGATAATAAGTGAGAACAGACAGAATAAAGACAAGTGAGACAGACAGACAAAGGGCAAATAGGTGAGACAGACAAAAAAGGAAATAAGTGAGACAGACAGAATAGACAAGAGGTGAACAGACAGACAAAGGGCAATAAGACAGACAAAAAGGATAATAGTGAGACAGACAGAGACAAAGAGAAGACTAGTGAGACTAATAGTGAGACAGACAGATATAAAGCAGAGAACGAGGCACAAGGACGGACTCTTACATTCTCCTTGCCCGGATGAAGACCAGCTGCTACCATGTACGTGCTGCCTATGGTCTTGATCTTCTCTATGACGCTGAATTTCGGCTTCGCCAACAGCTGCGGGGTGGAAGGGGGTCGTTATTGGCATCCGGAGGTTTGACTTGACTGAGGTGTGCAGTCTGTGGTAATATAAGTGTGGGTTAAAGTGGTTCATTGTGGTAGTTTTTCATGGTACAATTTTTTGTTTTTCTTTTTCTTTTTTTCTCTCTCTTTCTAGATAAATGTCTTTCCTTTCTCGGATTTCTTTCTTTCTATGTCTCGTTCATATCGGATTTCTCTCTCTTTCTCGCTCGCTCTCTCCCTCTACGACTTTCTCTTTTTCTCCAGGGGAGTAACCGTAGCATCTCGGAGGACCCTCAGCCCCTGGAAGCGGGCCCCTCGACAGCGCGAGCTAAAGCAACCCGCAACCCCCAGCCCCCTATACCCAGCCCATGTTAATAGACACCCCCACGCCAGCCAGGGTCAAGGCTGCCCCTCCGCCGCCCAGGTCCAAGGGCGTGGAAGTAACTCCGTCGCGTTGTCTCCCTCCCAAACAAAATCCTTCATTTGAAGGATTGAAAATGTTGATTTTCCTTCAACTCAGCTGGCAGCATGAGTTTTTCTTCTGTTTATTAATAGTAAGTCTGAGGATGCTTACTTATTATGTTTTGTCGTCCACCGTATTATTGACTGCGTTTTTTCTTGTATTTTTTGTTTTTATTGCGTTTTTTTCTCGTATGTTTTGTTTTTATTGCGTTTTTTCTTTTTTTTTTTTTCCTTTCGTCGCCAGCTCTGCACACCGTTAATGAAACGAGTGAAGACTTTCCGCAGGTTTGTTAAAATTGTGCGAGGCCCGACCCAACATTCATCATACGGACAAGCTTATACACTGAAATGGATGCATATCTATCAGTCTAGACATGCAAATCTACCGTACAGATAGATGAGTGTATATATATCTGATAGATAGACAGATATACATTTATTTCTGTGTATATGGATGTCTGTATATACGCTTATTCTTTGGGCCTTGAACAATTTTAACAAACCAGTTCATCAGATGTTCAGTGGCACCAAACGGGGACGCGCGTGTCAACCCGGCAGCGAAGCAACAGCGGCGGACACTGAGGGCTTCTTTGCAACGCGTGACGGCGTGGGTTGGGTTGGTCTTGTGCGACCGGATCAGGAAACGGTGCAGTCCTGAGAAGATCGGCTGAACCTGCTGAATTATTCTAAATCGATCAGATAAAGAGAGAGAGAGAGAGAGAGAGAGAGAGAGAGAGAGAGAGAGAGAGAGAGAGAGAGAGAGAGAGAGAGAGAGAGAGAGAGAAATACACGACACGAGGCAGAGGGAGGTTGACAATATCGAATGTGAATACTGTGCTCATCAATGCTGGATAATGTAAAAAAAAAACACCTTATGCTACTAAAACGACAGACACTCGTACAATAAACTGGTCACCACCCAAAAAGCTAGACCCCGCAAATGTAACCGAACCTAACTGAACGGCACAAAAAAAGAAAAACAAATAAACAATTTCATCGCCCTTCATGAAATTCTATGAAAAAAAAAAAAATCAGTCAAAATCTCACTGAAAACAAAATCGACTCGCAGTGATTGTTGTCTGACCAGCAAGTCTACGATCGCCACACTGCTAGGCCATGGAGCGACGAATTCTCTGAAGCACGGCCAGCCCACCTCCCAGTCCTCCCGTTCGCATCCCTCCCTGGCGGAATGAGCCTTCTCTCTCTCTCTCTCTCTCTCTCTCTCTCTCTCTCTCATCTCTCTCCTCTCTCTCTCTTCCTCCTCTCCTCTCTCCTCTCTCTCTCCCTCATTCTTCCCCTTCCCTCTCCACTCTCTCTGCAAAATCAGGAAGACAGGCAACTATTCACCCTCCCACACCCACTTGGCCGGTATTCGACACCCCTCCTAACACTCCCCCAGCCTCATCGCTCCTCCCCTGACACTCCCAC